ATATGAAGAGGAGGTTGAGGCAGGAGAATTGCTCAAACCTGGAAGGCGGAGGTTGCAGTGAGCCGAGATCGCGCCACTGCACTCCAGCCTGGGCTACAGAGCAAGACTCTGACTCAAAAAATAGTGAATAAATTAAATTTAAAAAAATTAAAAAAAAAAACCAAACAACTGTTGTGGTATTTGGCTAATTAATGGCCAAAGAGACAGCTGAATACTGCCTGCAATCATTCTGTCTGGTTTGTTGAGATCTAGAAGATTCTATTCTTTGCTGGTGGGTAGTTAACACTTTCATTGTGTTTGTGGTTTTCAAAGTGGAAACACGAATAAAGGTTTATAATGAACTTTTCATTTTTTTTTAAGGCTGTAGATTCACATTTCATTCTTTTATAATGAACTTTTTAAATAAATCTTTTAAATATATTTTTTCTTGGGATGACAATAATAGTATTACTATGATAGTATTAACTTTTTTTTTTTTTTTTTTGAGACGGAGTCTCTCTCGTTACCCAGGCTGGAGTGCAATGGCGCGATCTCGGCTCAGCGCGATCTCGGCTCACCGCAACCTCCGCCTCCTGGGTTCAGGCAATTCTCCTGCCTCAGCCTCCTGAGTAGCTGGGATTACAGGCACGCGCCACCATGCCCAGCTAATTTTTTGTAGTTTTAGTGGAGACGGGGTTTCACCATGTTGACCAGGATGGTCTCGATCTCTTGACCTCGTGATCCACCCGCCTCGGCCTCCCAAAGTGCTGGGATTACAGGCGTGAGCCACCGCGCCCGGCCAGATAGTATTAACTTTATTTTTATTGCTTTACTGTTAAAAAATGGGTGTTCTTACAAAGTGTGTACAATATAGAAATATACAAAGTAGAAAACTAAAGAGTCTCTATCTAATCCCATTCCCATATAACCACCTGTAGATAGAATGGGAAGATTTAGTCATAAATACAAAAACAATAACATGGAAAAATACAATTATTAACTCTAGGAAAAATGTAATCATAGCATACTCCTTGGCTCAGAAGTGAAAAGTATTTATATTGTCATTAAAAAAAATACATATGAATTTCCCCAAAATTTTTAACACAGCGACATCGGGAAGATTGAGGAAGGTAGGAGAAGTATATGAGATTGAATAATTCTCCTTTATTCTTTTATTAAGTGACAGAGATATATGTATTTTATTTAGCAATGTGTGCACCTGTGAGTAGTTTCTTCTAGGGAATGGAATTTGGTGCTATGGGTAGTGCAGACAAATAACACCTGTGTTTGATTTTAACCCTTTTAGAGCTATGTTACTTTATATTTTATAGGTATTTACAATGTATCCAGATTTGGGTTAAGGCTACAAGAAATATGATGACAAAACACCCATATTTAAGGACAAAATTCTCTTGGAAAGTTTATTAACATAAGTAACAATAAATCATTCAGCTTTTCGGTCTTCAGGAAGTTTTTAAAGATTAAATTTCAGAAGTCCTCATGTAAACAAATCAGATATGAATAAAGCCCTTATGATGAACTTTTCAAATAAATTTTTAAAATATCTTTTTTCTTAAGATGATAATAGTATTAACATGATAGTATTAACTTTTATTTTTATTAAAATTAGCTCTTCAGGATTATTACTAACAAATCTTGATTTTTATTTTTATTTATTTATTTATTTATTTTTGAGTCGGAGTTTTGCTCTTGTTACCCAGGCTGGAGTGCAATGGCGTGCTCTCGGCTCACCGCAACCTCCACCTCCTGGGTTCAGGCAATTCTCCTGCCTCAGCCTCCTGAGTAGCTAGGATTACAGGCATGCGCCACCATGCCCAGCTCATTTTTTGTATTTTTAGTAGAGACGGGGTTTCACCATGTTGACCAGGATGGTCTCCATCTCTTGACTTCATGATCCACCCGCCTTGGCCTCCCAAAGTGCTGGGATTACAGGCGTGAGCCACCGCGCCCGGCCAAATCTTGATTTTTATTACTGTGCTAGGGTAAGATTTTAATCACTAAGTTCTTCCTCATCACTGAAATATGTGCTTTTCTTTATCCTTGGGCGTCTTGAATCATCTGATGTTGAGGGGCCTCCTGAACTGGGTTTCCATTTTTTTTGTTCTTCTTCAATTTTGGCTTGCTGTAATGTGATTCAAAAAAAAAAAAAAACAAAACAAAACCAATAACCTGTTTAATATTATTTACGGTTCATTAATTCAAAGCATGGCAAAAACATACCACAAATACCATTACTTCCCACCCTCCTAGTCCATGCAAACAATAAGATCTGCTCCCTTCCCCAGAGTTCTGTCCCATCTCACAATCTTACTCAAAATTATCCTAGGCAATTTCTAAAAAAAATATTTTCTGTTGGGTTGCATTCACACTGAGCAAACAGTTCTGGTCATTTCTTTAATCAAAACAGATTAAGATAGTTAAGTGTTGTGGGGCCCTTAAAATCTAGGAAGAACCAGTGGGAACTTTTCATTCACACTGCTCTAAGTACTTCAGAGAAACAGCCTGTCTTCCAAAGCTTACGAGGTTAAGAGGAAAAAGAGAGGTTGCCATGAGGTGATCAATGAAGTAAGCACAGACTATAAACCAAGTCAGCTATTGCATGATGCCTTTTAAAAGAACAGTTTAATACCTGGAATGCTATGGCCTGACTGAGGCTGTCAAGAGCAGGATCCTCCCCTTCATCTTCACTTTCTTCTACTTCCTCACTTAAATAAAGAAAAACAAATTGGAATGTAACCAACCAATAGTAAAAAGACAAAAGCAACTTGATAATGTATTTAGTAAAGGTAATATACATACATTTCTTCTTCTGGTTCAGGAGCTTTCTTTTTTTTCTTTTTTTCTTTCTTCTTTGGCGGCTCACGTTCTCCAAGCATATTTTTCGGACAGGCATAACTTAAGTGTCCACTTTCCTTTTGTTTCCCATTAAAAAGGAAAGGACAAACACTGTATTTGTTGCTGTTATTTACAAAAACTTGCCTGCTACCCTAACACTAAAAGGATTTTGAATTTAAAAAAGCATATTCCCATACTGGGACTATACAGAAGACATTAATGATAAAACCCAGGACTTAAATATTTAGAAGGTGATATTAAAACTCTCAGTTATTTTAACATTTACGACTATTTAGTAGTTTTACTAAGAGTTAGAAGTAGCAGGCGTCTCTCAAACATTTTAAATCTAAAAATTCAAACAAATTGGCTGGGTGCAGTGGCTCACACCTGTAATCTTCACACTTTGTAAGGCTGAGGTGGGCAGATCACCTGAGGTCAGGAGTTTGAGACCAGACTGGCCATAATGGTAAGACCCCATGTCTACTAAAAATACAAAAAAAAAAAAAAAAAAAAAAAAAAAAAAAAAAAAAAAAGAATTAGTTGGGCTTAGCAGCACATGCCTATAGTCCCAGCTATTCAGGAGGCTGAGGTAGGAGAACTGCTTGAACCCAGGAGGCAGAGGTTACAGTGAGCCGAGACTGTGCCATTGCATTACAGCCTGGGAGACAAGATCGAAACTCCATCTCAAAAAATAATAATAATAATAATAATAATTCAAAATTTAAATGGATCATTCATGCTAAATGTAAACATCTTAAGTTATTGATAAAACAAGGATAAAACTATTCTTGTTAATTTCCAAGATGTTGCTTAAGATTCTGTTTTAAAAGCCAACTGGCTGGGTGTGGTGGCTCAAGCCTGTAATCCCAGCACTTTGGGAAGCTGAGGTGGGCAGAGCACCTGAGGTCTCAAGTTCAAGACCAGCCTGGCCAACATGGTGAAACCCTGTCTGTAATAAAAATGCAAAAATTAGCTGGGTGTGGTGGCATGCACCTGTAATCCCAGCTACTCGGGGGGCTGAGGCACAAGAATTGATCAAACCTAGGAGGCAGAGGTTGCAGTGAGCTGAGGTGGAGCTATTGCACTCCAGCCTGGGCAACAGGGCAAGACTCTGTTTCAAAAAACAAACAAACAAAAAAAAAGGAAAATGTCTTTCTCAGTTTTCCTGTTAATTACTTTCATTTTTTTTCTTTTCATATCCTGACTACACTTGTACTACCCAATTACAGTAGCCACTAGCCAGCCAATGTGGCTACTAACAACTTGTCTGAATAGATATACACTGTAAAGATAAAATACACATTGGATTTCTGAAGACTTAGTAACATACGTGGCTTGCATTACATTCTTATTTGACAATGCTGGAGTAGACTATTATTTCTACTTAGCTAGAACATTGAGTTGTAAAACTTAAAAGCTCAATTATAATCTGTACATCAGCTTACTACAATTACATTTAAGATGTTATGTCAGGGTAGGGTATGGGGACTGAGCCAAGGTTAGAACGATAGATGGGAACAATAATCATACCTTTCCAGTATATTTGACAGAGCAGACAAACTGTGTACTTTGTATACCTAGGATATAGCTCAACCTAAGAAAGGTACTTACTGTTAACGAGCTGCTGAGAAAATATAGTTAAGCATATATGAAGCTGTGTTTTGAAATAATACAGCAAAAAATATTAACATATCCAATACTTAAAAAGGATTTAATGAAGTAACTTGAGAAAAACCAGACTAGGTATATATAAATAGGTTTTTCTGAAGGGAGGGAAATTAAATATAAAAATGTAAAAAATATAACAACTCTATGGATCCATAAATGAAAAGTAACTGATTAACAGATTCATCAGGCCGGGCGCAGTGGCTCACGCCTATAATCCCAGCACTTTGGGAGGCCGAGGCGGGTGGATCACGAGGTCAAGAGATCGAGACCATCCTGGTCAACAAGGTGAAACCCCGTCTCTACTAAAAATACAAAAATTAGCTGGGCATGATGGTGCGTGCCTGTAGTCCCAGCTACTCGGGAGGCTGAGGCAGGAGAATTGCTTGAACCCAGGAGGCGGAGGTTGCGGTGAGCCGAGATCGTGCCATTGCACTCCAGTCTGGGCAACAACAGCGAAACTCCATCTCAAAAAAAAAAAAAAAAAAAAAAAACAGATTCATCTAGTATTTCTCAGATAATTTAATATTTGCTGTGAATATGAATATATATACTAATCTGAGTATAACTATGTTCCCTCCCTCCCTTTCCTTCTTTTACAAAAATCAGGACTTTGGAAAAGTTTCTGAAGTGTTTACTTAAGAGGTTTTAGGATCATAGGAACTGACAGAATCAGTATCTAAGACTCTGTGAGTCTATTTAGGTCTCTTTTTTGGTGGAGGGTATGGGGAGTGACAGTGGGGCAGAGGACCTCAAACATTTCCCTGAATCTTCCATATGATCTTGTAGCCAGGATGGTATCTCAGTAATTCTCTCCCCAGCTCCCCGTTACTACCTCTGGACTCTGTTTTTTAAGTATTTTATTTTTGAGACGGAGTCTTGCTCTGTCACCCAGACTGGAGGGCAGTGAAGTGATCTCAGTTCACTGCAACTTCCACCTCCCAGGTTCAAGTGGTTCTCCTGGCTGTAAACCAGCCTCCCGAGTAGCGAGGTTTACAGGTGCTCACCACCACACCTGGCTATATTTTTGTATTTTTAGTAGAGACAGGGTTTCAATATGTTGGTCAGTCTGGTTTCAAACTCCTGACCTCAAATATCTGCCACCTCAGCTTCCCAAAGTGCTAGGATTATAGGTGTGAGCCACTGTGCCTGGCCTATTTCTTAAGTATTTTATATGGTCATTTTACAAACTTAGAGCTGTGAGAACCAGATTAAAATTCTCTTGGTACCAATACAGACCTTATACAGACTTGTTTATGGCTATCTCTCCTCATCACCAAAACTTTAAATGGATAATGACAGATCATGAAGAGAATCAAAGAAGAAAATGTGGGGATAGTTCAGTTACAAAATACTAGCAATAAAAATTAAAAACTTCAAAACACACTATTCCATAGAGGATAAGGTCACATGATAATGTTAGTATTGAACTGTGACACTTAAAAACTGTTACAGAAACAGGCAATATCCTCTTAAGAAGTTATGAGTTATCAAAATCTTTCAAGGCAATACATAAGTAGAAAATGTTAAAAAGTCTAACACTTTTAAAACTAGTGATTTTCAAAGATTTAGGAACTAGAGGAAATACCACTTTGTATTACTGAACTCAGGTTATCTTTACACACTGTATTTCAACTGCATTTACTTAGATGAATTTAGAGTACCTAAGTAAAACAACTAGGCCAGGCATAGTGGCTAACACCTGTAACCCTAGCACTTTGGGAGGCTGAGGTGGGAGGAATGCTTGAGCCCAGGAGTTTGAGATTGCCCTGGGCAACATAGGAAGAACATGCCTCTACAAAAAATTTTAAAAATTAGCAGGGTGTGATGGTGCATGCCTGTCGTCCCAGCTACTTGACAATGTGGTAGGAGGATCACTTGGGCTCGGGAGGTGGAGCCTACAGTGAGTTGTGATTGCACCACTGCACTCCAGCCTGGGTGACACTGGAAGACCCTGTCTCAAAAAAATAAATCTTTAAAAATAAAGCAATTTTCATAACCTGGTTTAGTCAGTAAGAAGTTTTGGTGAGCAAAAATAAATGACTGATGTGAAAAGTATCTGAAAGTAAACTATGCAAAGTTCCATTACGTTTTAGGTTTACTTACCCCACATTCATAACACTTAGATTTATCAAAGTAGTTTCGCCTTCGGATGAACTCAGCTGCTCTTCCATTGTCAATAGCAATGCTTGCTTTTATCACTCTACCAAATAACTAAACCAGAGAAAAATGTAAATGCAGAATGTATTCATTCAAACCTAAAATTAATTATTTAATCCAATTTTCTCAAATTTTCAATTCCAGTTTATTTTGGATTATTTTAGAATTGCCACTTTGGTGTGATAAATTCTATTCTGTAGTATTCTTATTCCTGAGATTCCACCAATGTTTTGAGAACCCAGTACAGTTTTGACCGCTTTTCTTTCCATTAGTTAGATATCTTAAGAATCTACTGATACCTATTAGACCTGATGATCCATTACATCCCCATATTTTTGGTCTGGATGAGCATAAAGGCTTTGGGGCTGAAAACTCTGATGAACAGCTTACCTGTTTGTTGTTTATTGCCCTGGTACAGTTTTGTGCAGAGTCTTTATCCAAAAATAAAATAAATGCAACCCCTTTACTCTTCCTGGTATCTTTATCTTTCATTATGGTAACCCTTAAAGCATAAACAAAGAGTTAAAAATGAGGCAGCAATAGATGAAACAGATATGAATATTTGAAAAATTCATTTTAAAAAAGGGCTAAAAATTTACAAGAAAAATTAATACATACATTTGAAAAATCAGCTATCTCTTCAAAATCATGGGATACCAAGAATGGAAATGAGAAAGGGTGATACTGATTTAACAGAAGTGAGCACAGCTATGATTAGGAGTTAACCAGAGAAGTAAAGAGATTATAGAGACAATGGAATCTTGAAGAGTAACCATAATCCCTCTTCCATACTAACTCCCTCACCTTGCAAAACAGAACAAAATAAAGGTATACTTTTTTACACAAAAAGTAAAATGATTTACTAATTTTTTAAGTTAGAATCAAACTGTTATTTTTATTTTTTTTGAGATGGGGTCTTGCTCTGTTACCAAGGTGGAGTGCAGTGGCGTGATCTTACCTCACTGCCACCTCCACCTCCTGGGCTCAAGTGATTCTCCTGCCTCAGCCTCCTGAGTAGCTGGGACTACAGACGTGCATCACCAAGCCCAGCTAATTTTTGTATTTTTACTAGAGACAGGGTTTCAACATGTTGGTCAGAATGGTCTTGATCTCTTGACCTCGTGATCTGCCTGCCTTGGCCTCCCAAAGTGCTGGGATTATAGGTATGAGCCACCGTGCCCGGTCTTAAAAGTGTATTAATATTCTTTTAAAGAATCTTAAGGGAAAAGAGAAAAAAACATCTCCAGTGCTCAGTGTGGTGGTGAGCACCTGTAATTCCAGCTACATGGGAGACACAGGCAGGAGGATGCTTGAGCACAGGAGATGAGACCAGCCTAGGTGATATAATGAGACCCAGATTTTTAAGAAAAAAGAATCTCCAGTACTGTGGTTTTTAGCCACATCACACCCCAGGGTGTACCTGAGTAATAAGGAGAGTTATGAGAGCACAGAGCCTACTCTTTCTCCTGCCCCGTACACATCCCTACTCCTGGAGGCCCTTGCACACCCTATGTCATTTACTTAACATTTTCTAATGTTTGAATTGCAGGAAAACAGATAATAGGACACAAGTGAATAAATAAATAGAAATTTTTTTTTTTTTTTTTTTTTTTTTGAGACGGAGTTTCGCTCTTGTTGCCCAGGCTGGAGTGCAATGGCGCGATCTCGGCTCACCGCAACCTCCGCCTCCTGAGTTCAGGCAATTCTCCTGCCTCAGCCTCCTGAGTAGCTGGGATTACAGGCATGCACCACCATGCCCAGCTGATTTTTTGTATTTTTAGTAGAGACGGGGTTTCACCATGTTGACCAGGATGGTCTCGCTCTCTTGACCTCGTTCCACCCGCCTCGGCCTCCCAAAGTGCTGGGATTACAGGCGTGAGCCACCGCGCCCGGCATAAATAGAAATTTTATTCAGCATAACGTTTCCCATATTAAAATTATTTTATTTGGGTTTGGGTTAAGGTACATATTAGTCTTTGGAATGAAACTGATAGAAAGATGCTACTATATTAAGAAAAGGGATGTCTAATGTCATTTAAAAAAAGAAACAGGTTGAAATAATTTAGGGCAACTTAAATGGTTTAGTTTCTCAAACAGTGTACCTGAATAGTCAATGTGCTTAGAAGGTAAGGAGAGGCAAGCACCCAAGGAAAGAAGGTTCAAATTTAGACTGGTTATCATCAAAGCACCACAGTTATGAGAATATGCAGGAGAGGTTTGAACCAATTTTGATAGAAATACTGAATACAGTAGTTGCTTTACATTTTGGAATTCTTCATAATGTTTGTGAAAGTTATAAATCTTTTTTTTTAAAGTACTATTCCAAAAGAAGTGTTAGCTTTCTATATCATCCTCAATTAATGATCTCTCATCTGTTGCCTCTTTTCCATTTCCACTGCTTTTTTCTTGTCCACAGGGGCATTACTGTTTCAACAGTCTATTCTTATTGGTTCCTTTATGCTAATTTTTTCTCTTATAATTTTGTCATATGCTTAAGTAGTCTTCTACTTAAGGAATAAATAAAATCACATGATTCCTTTCTTCAAAAAGTTTTGGTTTTATAAGTTACCTATTCTTTGTCCCACAGTCAGCATCCTTGATGATTTGGCTCCCATCTCTTTCATCTTTCACTGCTCCTTCCCACACAAACTACGAGGTCTACCCAAAAGAAACCACTCAATGCTCCGGTAGCATGGCCTGTATTTCCCCAAATTTGTGCCTTTGTTCACACAGCTTCTATCTTCTTTCACTTCTGAATCACTGCCTATTAAAATTTTCCTCATTCTTTAGGGGTTTAGGCCAATATGTCAGTTCCTAATAGCTTCAACTGGATATAATTTCTCCTCCTTTATGCTAGTCTTTGCTGAATTGTGTTATTCATAATCAATGCCTCATTTCATCTATTTTAATGTAAACTCCTTTAAGACTGTCTCTGTAACCCATATGTGCTTGGCTTAAGATGTTGATTGATAGATACACCTTTATATTCAATGGGATAGATTTTAAAAAATGGGAAAAGCAGTTTCTAAAAGAATGCGCTGTATATGTTCATTCATTTGGTCATTCAGTCACTCTGTTAGCCTCAAACTCATGTGCTAAGCACTAACAGTAGTTTTTACCCTCAGGAAAGAACTTACAGTTTAGTGGTGGAGACAGACCTACAAACCAATATCATATAATAAATAGTTTGATAGAGATAACTTCTGCGGTAACAGAAAAAAAAAATCACACCAGCCATTTAAAAGGACAAATCTGTGACTCTCATGTTTCTGGCAAGGGAAAAGAGGTAGATAGTAGCACCATTTCCTAATACAAGGTATAAGATGTACTTATTTAAGCACATAATATGAAGCATACCCTATTTTGGGAAACCTGAATGTCATCCATAACGCCTCCTTCTTGCTCACACAGTCCTTATATACAAAGTAAGCATATCACTAAATATCATCCACTTTGCTTCCTATACATATCACTAAGTATTACCCACTTTACCTCAATGATGGCTGAAATCTGACCACTTCTCAAATCTGAACAGTTTCTGTATCTCCACCTGTACTATTTTAGTACAGATTTCTCCCCTGGGCTACGGTTTTAGATTTCAGACTGGTCTCACTGCATTTGCTCTTCTTTTTCTTTTTTTCTCTAGCAAGTTCTGCCACCCAGGCTGGAGTGCAGTGGCATGATCTTGGCTCACTGCAACCTCTGCCTCCACCTGCCTTCCTGGTTCAAGTGATTCTCATGCCTCGCTTCCCAAGTAGCTGGGATTACAGGTGTGCACCACCAAGGCCGGCTAATTTTTGTATTTTTTGTAGAGACGGAGTTTTGCCATGTTGGCCAGGCTGGTCCTGAACTCCTGACCTTTCAAGTGATCCTCCCGTATCAGCCTCCCAAAGTGCTGGCATTACAGGCGTGAGCCACCATGCCCAGCTGCATTTGCTTTTGTTCCCCTCCAATCGAATTTCTACATTAAGCCAGAATAAACTTTAAAAAATTTAAATTATGTCACCCCTCACTTAAAATTCTTAAATGATTCCTGATTTCTTAGAATGAAAACCAAATAACCTTTATAACCTGGCCAAGAAGCAAGATGAGGAACCTGCTTCCATCTCTGGACCCATCTTGTGCTTTCTCCCCTTACTCATCTCCAGTCACATTGGCCTTCTTTCTAGTTCTTGATCTCACTTTATTTTCTCTTGCCACAGGGCCTTTGCATAAGGTATTTCCTCTACCTGAAATATTCCTCCCTTATTTTTGGCTACTTAGCTCTTACTTATCTTTAGGCTTCCACTCAAAGGATACTGACCTAGTTCCTTCTCTGCCTCTCCAGACTAGATCAAGTCTTTCCTGTTTCTAGGTGCTTATGACTCTGTATTTTAACTACATAGCCCTTTCATGGTTTAGGACTATATATTTATATGGATATCCATTCAGAGATTCTGACAAAGAGGTAAAAAAAAAAAAAAAAAGATAAAAGGTAAAAGGGAATGGGCTCTGAAGTCTGTCTGTTGGATTCAAACATTTTCTCCACTACTAGCTAGCAAAATGACCTTAGGTTACTATGTGCTTCAGTTTAATCATTTATAATATTGAGATGATAATAGTACCTACCTTAAAAGGCAGTTATGAGAATTAAATAACATACATAAAATACATAAAGAGATTAGAACAATGCCTAGCATATATGTGCTCATTTAAGTATCACATACCATCATCATTACCAGTGTTTGGACCGATGATGATGGTGACTTTTCAAAATCTGAACATCCAAAAATTTACGCAGAAGCATTTTGATAATGATTTTTTCTTTTTTTGAGACACCCAGGCTGGAGTGCAGTGTTGCGATCTCAGCTCACTGCAATCTCCACAACGCGGGTTCAAGTGATTCTCCTGCCTTAGTTTCCTGAGTAGATGGGATTACAGGCGTATTCCACCACACCCAGCTAATTTTTGTATTTTTATTAGAGAGGGGTTTTACCATGTTGGTCAGGCTGGTCTCAAACTCCTGACATTGTGATCTGCCTGCCTCAGCCTCCCAAAGTGCTGGGATTACAGGCGTGAGCCACTGCGCCCGGCTGATAATGATTTTTTAATAGCAAAGTAACTGTAAAAGAAGTTAATAATTTCAAGATGCCAATGAGCTTCAACTGTTTAACATCCATTTATGGAATACTAGGAGAAACTAGTCAAGATAAATATGCTGGAAATTCTTGGGATTTTACCTCAGAATGTATATTGGTTAAAAGATAGTTAGGATGACAGTATCCTGCTTTTACTTTTTTGCCTCATAACATAGTTGCTTGATTTAAAACAGTGAAATATGAGACCCTCAAGTTCTTTTTATCCTTCCTTAACCCTCAGCTCCAATTGCTGTTATCATCCATTACCGTTTTTGTATGTTTCTAGTCTTTCCAATGAGCTAAGCTTTCTCCAAAGGCAGGTAATATGTTTTCCATTTATCTGTCTCATAGCATTCTGCAAGTCAGATGCACTGAAATATTTGTTTTCACACTATTTGAAAAATGTTAATCTACTTACAGTATACTTAATTACACATTTCCTAGTAATCAAAATATTTGTATACCATTAGATATGAGGATGTATCTTTATAGCACATGGAAAGACATTTTATGATATATCAAATTAAAAAAAAAATTGCATGTATGGAATACAATCTTTTTTTTTTTCCCCATTTATTTATTTTATTGCATTTTAGGTTTTGGTGGAATACAATCTTTAAGAAAAATTTTCCATCTACATGTTTATATAGATGGAAAACCAACTAAAATTGACATAAAAATGTTAATAGTATTATTTTCTTTGTTATATCAAGTATGTTTTATTTTTAAAAATCTACTGCCATTAAAAGAATAATAGAAAAGCAAATTCAGATAAACTTTTAAATGAAGGTACAAAATTTAATGTGAATACTCACTTTACAACTTTGCCATACTTGGAAAATATCTGAAACAAGACCACATATTTACAATTTAATTTAAAATAATAAAAACATCAAATTTTCAGGTTACAGACATTGACCAAATTCTTTGTTACAGTTTATGAAAAATTTCAGCCTTCAGTGTATATATAAGGCAGGCCCTAGAAAAAAAAATTTTTTTGGTGACCAGAATAACATTCTTATTTTTATTGGAGTCACATATATCTGCCTCAGTTTCTAGACTTGACAATGGAGTGAATATAGAGAAAAAAACCCACTTTACACAAATGGTAGATCCAAGGCATACACACTGGATAGCTGCTGTGTTCCTGAGGTATGCCCATGGCAACTGTCAACTCCGCCATAGTGCCAGCTACACCTGTGCTTCAAATAGCAATGTTATGGAGTAGCACTATTCCAATTCTACCCTCACCTCTACTTTGTTATTCCTATGAAGCAATCCCTGTTTGAGAAGACAGATCCTTAGACTGCTTTATTTAAAACAAAAACAAAAAACAAACCTTATATAAAAGCTTTTATAATGAAAAAATCCATTTCTATCAGTCTTCTTCCTCTGCCCACCATTAATATGTTAGTAGAACTTTATAGTTGGCTCTCCTGTTACTTTTACTTCATCCTATGCCATCTCATTTATTTATACAGTTCCAGCTCATTACCCATATACTACGAGTTCCAATTAAATAAAAAATCTTTTAGAATGTGTTAGTATATGCAACCAATAATAATGGATTTTTTTCTATGATTAAGCTGTATAATGCTGGAATGTCACATACTGTAACTGGATTGCAGTGCTAGCAACACTGGGTTCTGAAGGCCAGTACGGTTTTCTATATAATACTAATGGCCTCTCGTTTCACTCAGAGTGAAAGCCAGAGTTCTTACCATGATGCAAATAGGTCCTATAAGGCACTCAGAGTGGGCTTACCTAAGATTACCCTTCTTCTTCTGAAATGCTTGTCCTCTAGAATCTGCACAGCTATCTCTTACTTGTTTCAGGTCTTTATTCAAAAGTCACCTTCTCAATAATGGCATTTCCCACCACCCTATGTAAAATTTCACCTCCATTCTCAACTTAACGTTTAATAGCCCACCTTTCCGGCTTTATTTTTTCTCCTTAGCATCTCATTAGTATTTAACATATAATTTGACTTTTTAGTATTTTGCATTGTTTCTCTCATGCTATACTAAGGGTACCAAGAGGGCTTTTTGTCTTCTTCTTCACCGATATGTCTCTACTACCTGCAAGAATGTTCAGCACATAATAAATGTTCAATAAATCCAGCCTCTTTTTTTTCTTTTATTTTTTTTTGAGACACGGTCTCATTCTGTCACTGAGGCTAGAGTGCAGTGGTATGATCTTGGCTCGCTGTAGCGTTGACCTCCTAGGCTCAAGCAAT